TTTTTATATAATTGCAAATTTTCAATCCATTTTTTAAAAATTTTAAAACCCAGATATTTTTTTTAGAGGAAAAACAATGAAAAATATAGGGTTTTAAATTTTGATCTGATCTCTTGTCTGATGCTTAAATCTTTGTGAACAGGGCCTGACGTTTTCGAACGAAGATTTTGAGTGAAAATCACACACCCAATTGGCAGCAATTTTGTTTAATTTTTTCCAATAATTTCAAAGCAGATTCGTGGCATGAGAAGTGAGACTTTTAGCATTGGTACCCTAAATAATGATAAAAATTCCGGTTTAAATGTCCGTTTCGTATTTAAAAGAGAATGTGTCGCACTTTTCCATAAATATGCAGTTTCTTAACCTAATTATTTGAAAGTAGAAAAAAACATTCTACGTACTTGTATCATGGAAAATGCAATTTGTAGTCATTATGTCCAAAAGATTTGCGTATTTTTTGCGTATACATTTCCGTTTATTCTTTTTAAGTGTACTTATAACGCCGTTCGTGTTTAGAACACGTTTCGTATTTATATGAAAAATTCTTTTTAAAACGAGGTTTCGTTTGGCGGGCATATTCATCCCTGAAAATTTTTAAACATTTTTTTAAAAATTAAATGTAAATATTAAAAAAAATAAACCCTTTTTTCCCTTTCCCATTTTGTTGCTTTTGTCTAGTTTTTGGTCGAAGCACAAAAAAGGTAATTTAAACTGAATGGGAAATGTTTAGTTTTAAAATTTGAAAATTTGTTTAAAAAACATTTCTCCCTGCTCGGTGTGCCAAATTACGGGTAAATTTTGAAACTTAAAATTTTCATTTTCGAAAAAATGGCTTTTGAATCTATGGAAGTTTTAAGGAAAAAAATGTTTTATTATATCGCTTCTCCGGGTAAGGGGACTTTTGTAGCGGGACGTTTTTTCCCTCCAAATTTTTCGGCCCCTCGGGCATGCGACCCCATTTCCCTTCCCGGGAAAGTCCCCTTTATTTTTTTTTTAAAACGTTTTGATTTTTTACTGCTTTTCCCCAAAAAATTCCCTTTAAAATTTAAAGCATACTAACGAGAAAAAATTAAATTTAGTTGGGCAGTACGTATAAAAAGTCTAAATTTTAAAATCCCTTTCCCCTGTGCCGTTTTTAACTCCCCTTTTTTAATTTTTAATTCGGGGGGAACCCCCTTCTTCCCGCTGGGGAAAAACAATTACACTGGGCATGTTAAATTTTTTCCAAATTTATACCCCCTTTTTAAGTTTAAAAGGGAAATGTATGAAAAATTTTTTTAATTATCAAAATTTTTAAACCAAATTTTTACTATTAAATAATTTTTTGCCTTTATCCTTTAAATATCATGCATACGATGCTTTGTGAAAATGGTTGTGGTAAGGGTACCGATTAATAGTTACCCGTTTTTGGGTTTTCGCCTTTTCCCTGTTTAAATTTATTTTCTTTTAAATTTAATGGTCTGTTAAAACTTTGTAATAAAAAATGGCCCAATATAAAAAAATTGTTAAATTTTAAAGGGTTAGTTTTTAAATGTGGGGAACTACTTTTCTTCAACAAAAAAGGGAAAATTTCGGAAATCCATATAAACCCTTTAAAATTTAAGGGTTTTTCAAATTTTTAAAACATGAGGGAATTTTATGATTTGTTGAGGGCAATATTGATGTGAAACATTAAAATTTTGATGAGGGCGAAATTAAAAAAAGGGTTTTAAATAATTTGATTTTTGTGGGGAATCCCCGGGCATAAATTTAGTTTTTTCGACTTCCTTTTTTTAATATACTTCCTTTTTTAAAATTGATCCAGTCAAAAAAATTTTTTAAAAGGGTTTAATGAGCATAATGACTATTTTGCTATGTTTGGGTTAAAACTTTTGGGAAATTATCTTAAGTAGTTTTTTCCCAATTGTCTCTAAAAACCCTTTTAAAACTAATGGGAACCCAAAAATTCGGCGAAAACGAATCTTTTTAAATTTGATTTTTTTTAAATTGTCCTACCCCCGTGAATTGATGGGGCCTTTTTTCAGTGGTAAAATGAATTTTTCCGCCCAAAATCATTTTAAATTCCAGCATCCTAAAGTTTTTTTTTTTGGCCTTTTACCCCAAAAAGAAATACAAAAAAAACGGGGTTTTGTAATTTTGGGGAAATTTGAATTTTGTTGAATGAACACAAAGCGAATTTTTTTTCCCCTTTGGCATTTTTTTACTTACAGAAATTTTGGGTTCGGATTTCCAAAATAAATTTATCGATAATGGCCCCCCAAATATAAATTTCTCCCGTAGTATAATCGATTTTGCACAATTATGGTTTTTTTTTTGGGGCCTCCTTTATGTTTTTTTAACGGTGACCACTTTTTTGGAATAAAAAAACTTTTTTCCCCAAGTTTTAATCCTTTCTTTAAATTAAAAACCCAAAAACAAAACCTTATTTTTTGGGGAAGTAATTTTTGTAAAACAATTTTTTATGGCACCCAAAAAAGGTCAAAATATAAAATGAATTATACCCACAAAATTTTAACAAACAGTAATATATAATTTTAAATTTTAAAGGTTTACTACCCCCCAAAATTTTTTCTAAAGTAGTTTTAAACCATTTTAAATTATAATGTTTTAAATAAAAAAAGCCCTTGGGGATTGTCTGGTTAAAGGATTGGGTTTTGGGAAATTTTTTTTGGACGCAGGGAAAAAATTATTAAGAAATTCACGTGGGTTTAAAACATTAAAATAATTGTTTTTTAAAAAAGGAATCGTTTTTCCGTTTTTGGGTTTTTTAATTTTTTTCGATTTTCAAGAAAATGGGAACCCCCTAATTAAACAATGTTAATTTTAATTTTTATTTTTTCACAAAAAAATTTTTTTCCTCTGGGGGAATGAAAAACACAAAATTTTATATAAAATTTTAACTCCCAGCTAAGAAAAACAAATTTGAAAAAGTTTGCTCTTTTAAAAAGGGAACATTTAAATAATAAAATTCATCTAATTTTAAAAACCTTTTTAGCATGGTTTACTATCTAAAAAATTTTAGATTAATAAAAATACATTATAAACTTATTATCTCTGCATTAAATTATGTTGGTTTAAAATTTTTTCCATTTTTATTGTAACTTTTTGTTATTATTTTTCCTAAAATTTGTATAAAAAGTTGTTTTTTGTATTGTTTTTTTTCCCATTAAAAGGAAAAATCTTATTTTCTTAGAAAAAGGGTTTTTTTTTTCTAAAAATGGGGTCACATTTACTTTTTAAAAAAAAAATACAAGGTTTTGGTCCCTTAAAAAAAATGGGCTAAAAAAAGATGCAAAATTTTGATTATACTTTTGGGCAGAAACCCTTTGGTGGGGCCGATATGAAAGTGTTTTTTAAATTGGGTACCAACACAAATTTTCAAGAGTGATTTTTAAATTTATATAACGGCGTGTCCAAAATCTATTTTAAAAAGGCCTTTTATATAACCCCCAAACAAAACAAAAACATATGAAACACTCTAAAAGCGCCCGCCCCGGGTTTATTCTTTGGGGTCCCCTTTTGAAAATAACCCAAAGTGAAACCGCTTTTTTTTTTCATAAAAAACCCCTCAATGGGGCAAAGAATTTGGGGAAAAAGTTTCGAAAAATTTTCCCTTTTATTATTTTTCTTACGTTTTCGACGACCAAAAGTTATGTATAAAACACGATTTCTCGTCCCTCTACATTCATAATTCTTTTAAAAAATACAAAAGGATCTCGCTTGTGACAGTTGTGAAATTATTGGTTATTATTTTATTTGAGCCAGTGTGAGCCCTGGCAATGTATTCTGTTTCGCTCTGAATATTATACAAGGATTTGATTGGTTAAGATAATAATCGGAATACTATTGACCATGCAATCATATTATATATACTATTTCTTTGCTTCATTCACCTGTCACTTCAAAATCAAAATGGCGAACTTTGCTTGACCTCCGCTTCCATGACTAATATTTTTAAAATACTTACGTACATAGAGGGCTTTCGTTCAGTTTTGACTTTGCAGATCGATAGGAAAAGAGTTTGTTAAGGAAATTTATAAGGAAATTTTAGTCCTTTTCTGTATATTTTGTAGGAATCGACCAGAAATCGTGATTGTATACATGAATAAATTGGAGGTCGAAAACGATATGGATTGAAAATATTGGCATTTTGTGAAAATTTTACTCATTTTTTTGCTATTTGAAGAATTTTAATAAAATAAAAAGCGTTAACGCTTGGATTGATCCTTCCAAATGGCGAACAAAAAGAGATAACCATGATCTGATCATTTCTTGCAGCAGAGTTCTTGTTTGTTCAGATTGATGTAAAATTTTGTTCTGTTGGAGACCTTATACCTTATTATAGTATATTGCCGATATAAAACTTAAAAAAAGTTTATTTCAAGCACCTGTGCTCATAACCAAAGGTGGCAAGTCTGTGCAATGAAGTCATATTTAAATCAAATTTATAATATTCAACATGTAGAATTATTATTATATTGATAGCTGGAAAAACGCTTTATAATATATAATTTAGACATTTTTAGGACCTTTTTTGAAAATATTATATGATAAAAGCATAGCCTTTAAGCCAGCTCAATTTACTTTACCGAGAAATAGTATAAAATAATCGTTTTCACTGCTTCCGTTTATTCTGGTTCCCTGTCCTATTATGGTTCCTATAGAAATGAGCAGCACACCAGTCTACGCCGACAAAGCTCTATAAAGTGCATAAATTATACATAATCTAAAACACAAGCTTTGTTTCTGGTTTTCCATCGTTAAATATAAACAAACTGATTATAAGAATTCTAGCGGTCATTTGCATCAGCAAAGTTTGTCTTGAAAGTCATGCACAAAATGCAAGACGAATAGTGTAGCATGCAGGACAAGTAGAAAATTGAAGCTACTAGTTTGTAATAATCATATTTATATTCCAATGAATAACAGTATAATAATAATAAGTATCAGTAGGATGAAATGTCTTCAAGATGTCAATTGGACCTGTATGAAATAAAAAAAACAACAAAATAACTCATTTTTTTTCAACAGAATCTTTGGCAAGATGGTGTGTGACAACATTAGCAGAAGAAGAGAAGTGTGGAAATCTTGTGAGAGCCATAGACAAAGTGAAAGATTTAGGCGTCTCTGCTGAGAATGTTCATCCCTATTATAAAGATAAGGGTAACCTGAATGACTTTACCAACATGACAAAGGTGTCATGTGTAAGAGCAGCAGATGTGTAAGTTACTTAAAGTTAAATTTAGAAATAAACTGGCATTATTGTTCATTCTGTTTATGATTGCTTTGTGTATTGCAAAACAAAAATTTCAAATTTTATGCTTTTCTAGTCTGAAGGTGTATTTTTACCATTTTTAGCTCACCTGTCACAAAGTGACAGGGTGAGCTTTTGTGATCGCTTTTCGTCCGGCGTCCGGCCGTCGTCCGTAAACTTTTACTTTAAATGACATCTCCTCATAAACCACTAGGCCAATTTCATCCAAACTTCACAGGAATGTTCCTTTGGTGGTCACCGTTGTAAATTGTTCAAAGAATTTAATTCCATGCAGAACTCTGGTTGCCATGGCAACCAAAAGAAAAAACTTTAAATATCTTCTTCTAAAAGACCCAAAAAGCTAGAGCTTAGATGTTTGGCATGAAACATCTGCTAGTGAGTGTCTACCAAGTTTGTTCAAATAAAAGCCCTGGGGTCAAAATTGGCCCCGCCCCAGGGGGTCATTGATTTTCCTTATATGCATATAGTAAAAACTTAAAAAATCTTCTTTTAAAGAACCCAAAGAGCTAGAGCTAAGATATTTAGCATGAAACATCTTCTAATGGGTGTCTACCAAGTTTGTTAAAAAAAGAGCCCTGGGGACAAAATTGGCCCCGCCCCAGGGGTCATTGATTTTCCTTATATGTGTATAGCAAAAACTTAAAAAATTTTCTTTGAAAAAACTCAAATCGCTAGAGTTTAGATATTAAGCACGAAGCATCTTCTAGTGAGTGTCTACAAAGTTTGTTCAAATAAAAGCCCTGGGATCAAAATTGGCCCCGCCCCGGGGGACATTGATTTTCCTTATAATTTTTTTATGTGTATAGCAAAATCTTAAAAATCTTCTTTGAAAAAACCCGAATAGCTAGAGTTTAGATATTAAGCATGAAACGTTTTGTAGTAAGTGTCTACAAAGATTGTTTAAATAAAAGCCCTGGGGTCAAAACTGGCCCTGCCCCAGGAGTGTCATTGTTTTTAACTATATGTGTAAAGAAAAAACTTGAAAAAAATCTTCTTTTAAAAAACCCAACAAGCTAGACCTTAGATGTTTAGCATGAAACATCTTCTACTGGGTGTCTACCAAGTTTGTTCAAATAAAAGCCCTGGGGTTTAAACTGGCCCCGCTCTGGGGGCCTATATACAGGTGAGCGACTTCAGGGCCATCATGGCCCTCTTGTTGTGTAAAATATATGAAAAAGACATTGAAGAATTTTTTTATTCATGCAAGTATCATTTGAAGTATGTAACAAGTGGCAAAGTAAATTATTTATTTTTAATGATAATGAATTTTAATTTGTGCAATTTGTTCATAAGAAAATATAAAATAGTTTTTCTAATTAAAACCATGCATTTGGCAAATTTAACTTTAATAGTTGCTGTTGTATATTGCAAGTGCAATAACAAGGGCGGAATTGATGCTATTTAATCTTTGTATTTTAAATTTTAACAACAAATCACATTTTATGCATGCTTCTCTTCATTTCTTGATTATTTATTACTGGTATTCAAAAAATAGGAAAATAGTAGTGAGTATACATGTCCCTGAGTCGGCATAACACTTAAGTAAAATTTTGATTGTATTTTGTATCTCTCTTTAACCATTGAAAGTATTCACTGGCACTATATACACTAATGCCTTTTATATTATAATTGTATATCTTTTTACATCCATCAAGTGCATTAATTAAAAAAAAAAGTGTACAAAATGTTAACTTTTACCTTACATATAACTTATAAAATGGATCTGTTCTGCTTTGAATAAGGATGTCCATTCTTTGTTAAGAGGATTTCAGTTAACATATTTTGTTAACATATTGTTCATGATTAAAATTAGAAAAATTGTTAATAAGAAATGTTATTCTCTACCTTTCTTTCAGTTTTGCCTGTATGGAGTTGTTTGAACAAGATGAGGTAGATTTGATCACTCTTGAGGCAGGGCAGGGATATTTTGCTGGTAGATACCACTCTATGAGACCAATTGTTGCAGAGAAATATGATACCAGTAAGTGGCAGATACAGAAATATATATGCCAATACCTTATGACTTGTTAAAGATTTTTTTTCAACACAACCAAGAGCTTATGTTTCAGCAACTTTGTATTGATATCATTTTTAGCTCCACTTTTCATTGAAAAACAGTTGTGCTATTGTCAGGTCCCTCTCATCTGCATGGGCGTTTGTAAACATTTGCAGTTAGGTTTTGTTTCTCAGAAACTAAAAAAAGCTATTCACTGTAAACTCTGTTTACAACCATATTGTCATAAAAGGATGCCATTTAAAAAGGAAGATAATCCTAAAATTTATTTTTTTTAGCCTGTTTAACCTTTTTGTGAAAGAATCTACACTCAGAAGTTCAAAAGTCTAAAGACATAAAATTTGAATTTCTTACACAGAACAGCTTGAGCACTTGAAACAGACGCATATGCAAAAGATAATTAAGAATTATACCCAAAAATAGATCAAAATCTTTTCAATTGTGAATCATTTTTCAAAATTAGAATAATTTTTCAGAAAAAAAACAGAGAGGTAGTTTGACCACAAGTTAATGATCTCTAACTTTCTTACATCAAAAGGAACATTAACCTCGAAAATAATTTCTGGTCCAGTTTTGTCAGAAACAATCAAAGCTATTCATTTCCAATTGAATATAAATCTTCACTTTAAAAATATTTGTGCAAAGTTATGGCCCTTTCATGGCTTTTTCTTTCCTGCTATGTCAATTTCTCAAAGATAATCACTTAATCACTTCAACCTTTGAATATTTGTTAATTTTAAAATAAGAATGCATTTCATAAACTGGCAGGTTTTCTGCCCAATTTATTTTTACTCTTAATTCCTTGGTTAGACAATATGGATCTTGCTATGATTTCTGGTAAAAGTATAATCTCATTGCTGTTTCATTTACTTTGTCTTGTTGAATATATTTCATTTAATTTACAAACATGTTTATTTCAGTTCCAAATACTCCATTAGAATACTATGCAGTGGCAGTGAAGAGAAGGGGCAATCCTGTTACTATAAATAATCTACAACAGAAGAGAGCTTGTATTCCAGGTACGTTGAAAACAAATTTATTATTTTATTTGAATAGGAACTTCAGTTATTTATTGTGTAATCTTTGTTACTATATGCCCTAAAACTTTCAGGATGTATTATGGTTTGCCATTGTACTTCAGTCTGCCTGTCTGCACAACAGAAAAAGGGATAGGGGCCAGAAGCGAACAAAAGAGTTTATTTTGTAACAATAGAGTAAGGGGTCAAGGGCCCTCTTTTAAAAGAAAATAACAAGAAATAGCCCCCTATCTGATTGCATATCCTTCTGTCTGTAAGCAACTGTTTCCACAGCATAGCTTTTGAAAGATTCCAATTCCAATAATTGTGTTTATATTTTGGCAGTAGATGACACACTGAGTTATGAGTCTAGGGCTCATAGTTCAAGGTCACATTGACCTTGTTAAAAGTTGATTTTGTACTTTTCTTTCCTTATTAGCTCACCTGTCACAAAGTGACAGGGTGAGCTTTTGTGATCGCTTTTCGTCCGGCGTCCGTCCGTCGTCCGTCCGTCCGTAAACTTTTACTTTAAATGACATCTCCTCATAAACCACTAAGCCAATTTCATCCAAACTTCACAGGAATGTTCCTTTGGTGGTCACCTTTAAAAATTGTTCAAAGAATTTAATTCCATGCAGAACTCTGGTTGCCATGGCAACCGAAAGAAAAAACTTAAAATATCTTCTTTTAAAAAACCGTAAGAGCTAGAGCTTAGATATTTGGCATGAAACATCTTCTAGTGAGTGTCTACCAAGTTTGTTCAAATATAAGCCCTGGGGTCAAAATTGGCCCCGCCCCAGGGGGTCATTGATTTTCCCTATATGCATATAGTAAAAACTTTGAAAATCTTCTTTTAAAGAACCCAAAGAGCTAGAGCTAAGATATTTAGCATGAAACATGTTCTAATGGTTGTCTACCAAGTTTGTTCAAATAAAAGCCCTGGGGTCAAAATTGGCCCCGCCCCAGGGGGTCATTGATTTTGACCCTATATGCATATAGTAAAAACTTTGAAAATCTTCTTTTAAAGAACCCAAAGAGCTAGAGCTAAGATATTTAGCATGAAACATGTTCTAATGGTTGTCTACCAAGTTTGTTCAAATAAAAGCCCTGGGGTCAAAATTGGCCCGGCCCAGGGGGTCATTGATTTTCCTAATATTGTGTATAGCAAAAACTTAAAAAATCTTCTTCGAAAAAACCCAAATAGCTAGAGTCTAGATATTAAGCATGAAACATCTTCTAGTGAGTGTCTACAAAGTTTGTTCAAATAAAAGCCCTGGGGTCAAAATTGGCCCCGCCCCGGGGGTCATTGATTTTCCTTATATGTGTATAGCAAAAACTTAAAAATCTTCTTTGAAAAAACCCAAATAGCTACAGTCTAGATATTAAGCATGAAACATCTTCTAGTGAGTGTCTACAAAGTTTGTTCAAATAAAAGCCCTGGGGTCAAAATTGGCCCCACCCGGGGGGTCATTGATTTTCGTTATAATTGTATAGCAAAAACTTAAAAATCTTCTTTGAAAAAACCCAAATAGCTAGAGTTTAGATATTAAGCATGAAACATCTTCTAGTAAGTGTCTACAAAGTTTGTCCAAATAAAAGCCCTGGGGTCAAAATTGGCCCGGCCCCAGGGGTGTCATTGTTTTTAACTATATGTGTATAGTAAAAACTTAAAAAATCTTTGAAAAAACCCAATGAGCTAGAGCTTAGATGTTTAGCATGAAACATCTTCTTATTGGTGTCTACCAAGTTTGTTCAAATAAAAGCCCTTGGGTTAAAATTGGCCCTGGGGGGAGGCCTATATACAGGTGAGCGACCTCAGGGCCATCATGGCCCTCTTGTTCATAGACACATATCATTTCATAATCAGCTTCTTTGACACAATGTGCCTTTCATACTGGTTATCGTTAAAGGTATGGAAGAGGCGGGCATATGTGTCAATTTGACATCTTTATATTACATTTGATGGAAATGTCATAATTATTATGCTCCCCGAACAAATTCGGGGGAGCATATAGTCGCCGGGTTGTCCGTCCGTCTGTCCCAGCAAACATTTGATATTTATGAGCTTCATTCTGTAGTTAAATAAAGAGCAAAAACTCATAAAATTCAAATTAAGAGCTATTTTTTTGTTTTTATGAGCTAATTTTGCTTATGGACTTACGTCCAGGTGTAGTTTATGAGCTGATTTGCCTCTTAAATATCAAAAGTTGGTACGTCCATCCGTCCATACATACGTCCCTAATTGGTTTCCGATCGATAACTAAAGAACCCTTAGGCCTAGGAACTTTAAACTTGGTATGGTGATTGGTCATGGCCAGCAGATGACCCCTAATGATTTTGGGGTCAAGGGGTCAAAGGTCAAGGCCACATTGACCTTGCAGGTAAAAACGGTCTTCCGATCAATAACTAAAGAACCCTTAGGCCTAGGAACTTCAAACTTGGTATGGTGATTGGTCATGGCCAGCAGATGACCCCTATTGATTTTGGGGTCAAATGTCAAGGTCACATTGACCTTGCAGGTAAAAACGGTTTTTGATCAATTACTAAAGAACCCTTAGGCCTAGGAACGTCAAACTTGGTATGGTGATTGGTCATGGCCAGCAGATGACCCCTACAGCATGACCTTGCAGCAAAATCATGTCCGGCCCATAACTTCGTTATTTGAAGTCAGATTTTACAACTATTTCACAGAAATAATCACCATATTGAGACAATGTGTCGTGCACAACATTTGGGTTGTTTTTACACTTTGAACTTTGTCTGTGACATAACTCTGAAACTACAAAAGGTTTACCTTCCTGTGTCCAAAACCTATGCGGGGAGCATCACCCGGTTCAACCGGCTCTTGTTTGAGCCATTTACTACAATAGCTTTGTTTAAGTTAATTTTAATCCATGATACCTTCTTGTAAACTTGCCATTGGGCTTATTATCACCCAACCTCAGCAGAGATCTTGTTAAACACTGTGTAGTATATTATTATTTGTGTTGAAGATGAAATTTGAATGTACCTTTTCAATATGAATTAGTCTATTAGTATAGTTATAATCATTTAAAGCTTCTTATGTGATTTGACACTATCTGTAACATATAATGTTTTATATTTTCAGGGATTGGTAGTGGTGCAGGTTGGGTATATCCTATATCATACATGTTACAGACTAAGAAGATCACTGTGTCCCAGTGTAATGCTGTTGTCAAAACAGTGACAGAATTTTTTAGCCAGATGTGTCTTCCAGGAGCATTGAATTCATTCTACAATCCATTTGGTTAGTTCAACTTAAAAATTATCCTTTTGTTGCTGACAGGTTGCCATCAAAGTGTTGATGCATCAGAATTGCAGCCACCGTTTATCCCTGCTTGATCATTTTCTACATTTGTTTAGTCCAAGTTGCAATGTGTGGCTGAGGGTTGCCAGACATAAGAATTGCAGTCACCATTTATTTTTTTGTAATAGTAAGATGCAATTAAATGGGTTTGAATCACTGCATCACTTAGCTGCAGCAAGTGAGTTGGTCACATTGACCTTGTAGGTAAAAACGGTTTCCGATCAATTAACTAAAGAACCCTTAGACCTAGGAACTTCAAACTTGGTATGGTGATTGGTCATGGCCAGCAGATGACCCCTATTGATTTTGGGGTTTTGGTTGGTTTTGACCCCTGGTGTTGCTTTAAGTTTGTAACTCCAAAGGTTATCCAAAATCATCTTTCCTGTTTCAGCACCATATGACCTTTACTGTTTTTGTGCGCTGTAAATCCAACCAAACAAAACAAAATCAAGTTAAAATCATATGTTTAAAGTCTCAGTGATGAATTTAAAGGTTCCTTTCAGTTTTTAAATGATTTATGTGGAAGACATGTTTTTAAGTTTTGGAAAATCTTGTATTAAAGATAAACAGTTCACCTAGGAACCAACTTATTAAAAGTTAAATGAATGAGTTCTCCATCAATTTGAATTGTTTAAATTTAGAAGCACATTGTAATTTTCTTCTAACATCTTGCCTAAATGTCCTAGCAAATGATGTCTGCTTCTTGTCCTGCTTTATTTTTTGGAATGTCTTTATTTTTGGAAAATTTTCTCATCTTGTTCACAGTGTCATTATACAGTATTAAATCAGCACCACAGATATCTGAGTAAATCAGTTGCCTATAAAATCTAGTTGATGAACTTGTAACCATCTAAATTTGTTAAATGGATTTTCCCTCCTTTGAATTTGTAAGTCAGTTTGGATTTAAAAAGTTTTCAATAGTATAATACAATAATTGACCTACACACAGTATAGAGTTTGGTCAGATGTGCATACTGCCCTGGGTATATAGTTTACTGTTGGCATACTCTAATCACTTTGGATAAAAGCAGGTTATATGTTAATCTTGACATCTCTGGTATTATTTTAACAAGCTGGTGTATTCCGCTTTTAGAAAATCTTAAAATTTGCTACATGCAGTCATGGCCTTAACGGTTTGTCTATCTTTACTCTTCCCATATCTTTATGAAACATTACTGATACCAGGCAAATATTTCATTGTGATTGCTTACTGCAAAACAATTGTATCTCCTTCTTTATGCTTTATAAGTTACAATAACTTCCCAACAAGCATATGATTTATAATTATAGTCTTTAGTTGTCCTAAAAAAAGTTTGATTAAGATTGATAATGATTTTAAATTGTAAGGGTTCTTTATTGATGTTGTATATCTACAGGAAATAATCCAACAAGTGTATGTGAGTTGTGTCGAGGTTCCGGTGAACAGAAGTGTACATCTAGTGATCCACATGCCGGCTTCGATGGTGCCTTCAAATGTCTAGATGCAGCCGGAGACTTTGCATTCTTACGTGACGACACTGTTCGAATGTCAACTTATGATATAAACACAGGGGCAGACCGTTCTGATGTAAGATATCTGTATTGTACAAATATTATATTTTCTGTACAAAGAAAAAATAGGAAAATTATTTTAGGTTTAGTAAATTTATGATGTAAACCAGACAGACTTTAGTGTAAACTATTAAGACACTTCTAAATTGAGACAATGAAATGTTCGCAAATTTTGAATAATTTTTTCTTTTATATCATTTTGCATAATAATGAATTAGTGACATCTTAAACCCTGTAAACAAAAATGGCCTTTTGGTTTGACTAGTGACTACCTTTTTCTTCATTTTACAACTGATAAGTAATATGTGATTATGTGTATAATACATGTGAGAAAAAGCAATTGTTGGTTCTTCCAAACAAAAAATATCATAATGCTGTAGGTGTCTATGTTTAGATTATATAAAATACTTCTTTATTTGATTTAAAGACATCCAATGTAAAAATGTATTAAATGTTGGTATTCATATCAAATGAGACAGTAAATGGCCAACACAAATCAAGGTCAATCATTAAACTTTGTAACGGATTCGAAAGTGTGTCTATAAGCTTATAGCTTCCTACACAATTGAACTAAAATAAATTCTGTATAAACCATATATAAACCAAACTTTGTAACATTCTTAAGCTGGCCTATGTTTGTATGAAACAAAATTTCAAATGAACCGTTATCCTGATTATAATTTTTCGACTACTTTGGTTTTATGATGTATTAATTGGAATTGTGTCAGTCAAAATTAACCATTGTGAATGAAATCTGTTTAAAAATATCTACCTCATATCTATTTTGCATTAATTATTCACTGTAATAACCTTTCTAATTTCGTATGGAAAATGATTGCATTTATTTTATTGCTATCTTTCATTGTTACAGGAATATGAACTGATCTGTCCAGACTCCAGCTCACGACCTGTTGATCAGTATGAAAACTGTTACTATGGTAAAGTACCTAATGATGTTGTAATGACGTCAAATATGAAAGATGAGGAGACAGTACAAAAATACAAGAACCTGCTACTACAGCTGTCAGACTGGTTTGGACCACAAAAACCATATGAGAACGAGTTTAGAATATTCAGCTCTCAAGGCTATGAACATACTGAGAGGAAGAACATCTTGTTTAATGATGCTACTAAATCATTAGTGGCCATTGGGTCGGATAGAGACAGATATTATACCTGGGTTGGTAAGTATGCTATGGAGTCTATTATCACCTCTTCCTAAATATATTACTTGAGACTGCCATAATCATATTATTTTGAAAATTTAGCCTATTTCAAAGAAAAAAGTGGATTGCTGGGTTGTGCGGTCGTGTGTAGCCCCAAATTCAACGTCTTAAAAGTTATCAATATGAGACTTTCAGTTCATGCTTATATTGACAATGTGCGGTTGTTAGACAAGGGGCATAATTCTGAAATCCATACTTTTTTAACTTGATGTTTTTGTCAAAAGTGTTTTTTTTTTTAACAGATAAGTGTTAACACTGCATGTGATGCTCTTCTCATGTGGTATACAGTTGTTAATTGTATTCGGCAATAGTTTCAATTATTATTATGTAATAATATGTTATATATGTTTTGTGAAAGTCTCCAAAGGAAGAGTTTTGTTAAATGTATAATTAATTGATTTGCTTTTAATTAGACATTAATTGTTACTTTATGCTAAAATATGATCAATTAGAACAGTAAAAGACAACATAGCTACAAAAATAATGTTTAAGGTTAACTAAAGTTTTTAAGGGTTTATATTCTACAGTTTCAGAGTTAGAATTCATAATTTAATGAATGTTTAAAGTTGATTTTACCATTATCGTTGCAATTTTCTTAAAATAATTATTATATAGTAAAATGATAATAATAAATTATGTTAACAGATGACAGCTTCCGTGCTGCATTAAACAATCTGAACCAGTGTCCAATTGATGTAGTACGTCTGTGTGTGATATCCGATGCCGAGAGGGAGAAATGTGAACGTATGGTTGAAGTGTTCCGAGGAAAAGATATCAAACCTAACCTGGATTGTCTCATGGCACAAAATACTAAGGCGTGTATGAAGCTTGTTGCCAATGGTGATGCCGATATCACTATCCTTGATCCAGGAGATGTGTACATAGGTGGAAAGTAAGTGGATATTATGATCATTTAACAGTTTTAACATTTTAAGGTAATCAGCTTCTAATTTCAGGGAGTAACCATTTAAAAAATGACACACATAGTGTAGTCATTATTAACACTCAGCATGCTGGCGGCAATAGATTTGTGTTTAGCATGAAATTCAGAATTAAGGTATAAAAATCAAAATTTTGCGTATTGCAAACTACCAGCTTTTGATAGGAAAGTTTATATTTCATGACATTAAACATGAGAAAGAGACACTCCGATGGAATCGGGATTTTCAGCAATGGTTTGTTGAAAATTGGGAAAAAATGCATTGTGATTAATAAATGCAAACAGTCACTGTCTAGGATGGCATCTTGATTTAATGAAGGCAAACAATCACTGTCTTGGATGGCATCTACAAACATTTAAGCACTATAACAGTGAGGAAGTCCTAATTAACAAAGATTTTTATAACTTTTTATTCAATATATCTAATTTGTAACTTACAATTGTGGATTCTTCCTGTGTATTGAGAAAATAATATACTATTTTCAGTTGGGAATATGGCCTGAATATTGGCTATTATTAAAGATAAGCAAAAAACAATTCTTGGGCTCAGCAAAATCTGATTTTGACTCAAATGTACATTTTTATCTGAAGCATTTCTTAACTCATCCATTTATTTATATAGTAAATTCTTAAAAATTTCTACTTGTCCGGACAGGTTTTTGGGCAAATTGGGGATACAAACTATTGATTTTGCCCCCTTCCTGATTATATATTTGCTGTTTAAGATTGAGAACAATATGTCCATATGACATTTATAGAGTGCTGTGACAGATTTATCAGGGTTGTCATTAAGACGTTGCTGTTGGCCAAAATGACTCAAATGCATTTTTGGCCGCCTCAAATTTGAAATGGACCATCTCCTTAATTTGCTGAATTTGTTACGCTGCTTACGGATAGCGCCGTATTGTCAAAATATTTATTAACTGATATGGATCAAATCTGTGATGTTAGTGTATGTGAGATATTATTTCAGTATTGTATAAAAAGAAAACATTATGAAAGCTGAAAATAACAATAAAAATGCTTTTTATTGTTGTTTTAAAGGGCTTTGTAAACTATATAATTGAGGGAAAAAACACAACAGCCGTATATACAAGTAGTTCCTAATCAGTGTTTATTGGCAGTTTAACACTGTTTTTTCTTTCTTCTTTGTCTATAGTGACAAAATCACGAGGAGTGTTAGAATTTAACAGTAATCTAGAAAAATTATTGAAAGTCCTGTCATGTCCAAATATAAGTGGAGTCCCTTTAATGAGCTTGGGTATTGTCTATATAGATAATAATTATGTTGTTCTATTTTTAGACAATATGGTTTAGTGCCTATTGCTGCTGAAGATTATGGTGATATGTCACATACTGTTAAAGTTGTTGCTGCTGCCAGAAAACGTGACCTCTATATGACATTGTTTAACCTGAAAAGTAAGAATTCCCCATTGTTAGCCTTGATATGTAATGTAAATCATGTTAATAATGTTTGGAGTTTTGAATGTTAAAGAAAATGTAGCAAAGTGTCCTATCACAATTGTATGTAAGTTAATATTAAAACAAAGGTTGCTGGAAATCTTGATGATTTTTAGCTCACCTGTCACTTTGTGACAGGGTGAGCTTTTGTGATCGCTTTTCGTCCGGCGTCCGGCCGTCGTCCGTAAACTTTTACTTTAAATGACATCTCCTCATAAACCACTAAGCCAATTTCATCCAAACTTCACAGGAATGTTCCTTTGGTGGTCACCTTTGAAAATTGTTCAAAGAATTTAATTCCATGCAGAACTCTGGTTGCCATGGCAACCAAAAGAAAAAACTTTAAATATCTTCTACTAAAAAACCCAAAGAGCTAGAGCTTAGATATTTGGCATGAAACATCTTCTAGAAGGTGTCTACCAAGTTTGTTTAAATAAAAGCCCTGGGGTCAAAATTGGCCCTGCCCCAGGGGGTCATTGATTTTCTCTATATGTATATAGTAAAAACTTAAAAAATCTTCTTTTAAAGAACCCAAAGAGCTAGAGCTAAGATATTTAGCATGAAACATCTTCTAATGGGTGTCTACCAAGTTTGTTCAAATAAAAGCCCTGGGGTCAAAATTGGCCCCGCCCCAGGGGGTCATTGATTTTTCCTATATGCATATAGTAAAAACTTAAAAATCTTCTTTTAAAGAACCAAAAGTGCTTGAGCTAAGATATTTAGCATGAAACATGTTGTAATGGATGTCTACCAAGTTTGTTCAAATAAGAGCCCTAGGGTCAAAATTGGCCCCGCCCCAGGGGGTCATTGATTTTTCCTATATGAATATAGTGAAAACTTAAAAATCTTCTTTCAAAGAACCCAAAGAGCTAGAGCTAAGATATTTAGCATGAAACATGTTCTAATAGATGTCTACCAAGTTTGTTCAAATAAGAGCCCTAGGGTCAAAATTGGCCCAGCCCTGGGGGACAATGATTTTCCTTAAATGTGTATAGCAAATACTTAAAAATCTTCTTCGAAAAAAAACCGAATAGCTAGAGTTTAGATATTAAGCATGAAACATCTTCTAGTAAGTGTCTACAAAGATTGTTCAAATAAAAGCCCTGGGGTCAAAACTGGCCCTGCCCCAGGGGTGTCATTGTTTTTAAATATATATGTAAAGAAAAAACTTAAAAAATCTTCTTTTAAAAAACCCAACGAGCTAGACCTTACATGTTTAGCATGAAACATCTTCTAACGGGTGTCTACCAAGTTTGTTCGAATAAAAGCCCTGGGGTTTAAACTGGCCCCACTCTGGGGGGCCTATATACAGGTGAGCCACTTCAGGGCCATCATGGCCCTCTTGTTCAGTTTACTTTTCCATAATTATTGTGTAAGTTGCACATAACCTCTTTCAAAATTATATCCAATGGTATTCTGAAAAACACGCTTGACACAGTTTTGATGAAGTTATTACATGGATTATTTGTACATTACTTTTGATTCTTTAAGAGCAAGCGATAAAATGTGTTTTAGGTAAACTCATCTGTCTACAAAGGCAATTGATATTATGCATATTGGGATTTGAGAATATCTGAAATCTTAATATCTATCAATAGTTCATATTGTCAACAGAATGTAATATTGATATTTAATTTAACATGAATACGTTATTTATAGACATAAGTTTTCAAACTAACCAATGGAGGTAAATACAACATACAGTTGAAATTTGTTAGAACTAGGTTTTGTCCCCTCAAAGTTTTATGAGGGATTAAAAGTTGTTTAAGAGAATAACAAGTGAGTAAAGAAAAATATCACAGGATTTCCATGTTATGGTGGCATATTGAATGAACACTTCTTAAAAGTCTTAATGTTTTAGCAGGTAATATTTAATTAAAAGTTGTTGTATGACTGTACATGCGACTGACTTTACAGAAACTTAATACATGAAGTTTAGGATAGACAGTGCATTTTCCATTTACAGTAATGTAATGAAATTCTTATGTCTGTTACAGACTTACTATTGTAATTAATTATTATATTATCAGGAAGATTTTTGTATTGTCATATCAATTGATAGATCAAGGAGAAACTGTATACTGGTTTTTATCTGAACTATTTGAAGAATAAGGAGAGCTATTGTACTCACTCAGGCATCAGCTTCACCTTTTGGTAGTTATAACGTGCAAGTTGGTATCTCCGTAACTACTGAATGGAATAGTTTGAAAATTCACACACTTATTTGACAGCATATTAGGAGTCTACTCACTAAGGTCTTTAACTCTGACATAGATTTTGACTGAATAATTGCCCTTTTTGAACTTGGAAATTTACATTATCCAGTCTTTTGTTTAACTATCAAGCACTGTGAATAGCCCTGCGCACTGTCTTACCTATAGCTCTTATATTCTTAATACCTTCCGAGACAGTGATGGGTTGTATAACATTTAAATATTATGATATATTTTCAGGTTACAGGGCTTGTCATTCAGGTATAGGTAGAGGTGATGGTTGGATAGTTCCTCTAAACATATACATAGAGACACAGCAGTTTATACCTCAACAATGTACCATCTTTGAAAATATTGGTAGGTACATGCTTAGACTTTGTCAATATTTATGAATATTTTTTATTTTTGTTTAGTTTATGTGAACTTTATAAAAATTTAAGTGAAAATTGCATTTACAACTCTTTTTTTTATACTTATAAACCTGTAAAGTTGTCATATAACTTCAGTGTCAGTGTTATTTGAAATTAATCAAAATTAATTTAAAAGAAAAATAATTGCCATATCAATGTAATTTATTAGAGTGTGATTATTTCTCAATGTTTGAATAAAGTATGTCTTTAGTTATAACATGTAATTGAATAAAGTAATTGTCTTTAGTTATAATTAGAAATTGGGTTAATTAATTCTTTAAATGTGTCTGCATTTCTACATATATCAATTTATTTAAAATTGTAAGAATTTGATTACCAATATGTTTTTTAAAAAAGTCTATATGTATATACAGGTCAGTTATTTTCGAGAAGTTGTATCCCAGGAGCTCTAGACAAGGACTATAACCCTAGCCAGAAACCGATCAATCTGTGTGAGGGCTGTCAAGGTGGAGGCTACAGAAAATGCCAGAGAAATAGCGAGGAACTTTATTATGGTGCGACAGGAGCTTTCCGATGTCTCGTAGAAAGTAAGTACATTCTTTTATGACTGTACACTGATATCCACTATCTTGTGGAATTATTGTGTATCAGAACTACTAATAGGAATGCTAAACTTATAAATGAATGTATATATTTGATATGTTCAATTATTTACTTATTTTGATAGTAGGTTATAAACGTTGTTCATTTATATTGATAATATAAGAAAAAAAAACTATACCGAAATTGAATAATGGAATGGATTGTTATGATATTTGAAAAACACATGAAATCTGACCACATAATTTTTAGCTCACCTGTCACAAAGTGACAGGGTGAGCTTTTGTGATCGCTTTTCGTCCGGCGTCCGTCCGTCCGTCGTCCGTCCGTCGTCTGTCCGTCCGTCGTCCGTCCGTAAACTTTTGCTTTAAATGACATCTCCTCATAAACCACTGAGCCAATTTCATCCAAACTTCACAGGAATGTTCCTTTGGTGGTCACCTTTAAAAATTGTTCAAAGAAATTAATTCCATGCAGAACTCTGGTTGCCATGGCAACCGAAAGAAAAATCTTTAAATATCTTCTTTTAAACAACCCTAAGAGCTAGAGCTTAGATATTTGGCATGAAACATCTTCTAATGAGTGTCTACCAAGTTTGTTCAAATAAAAGCCCTGGGGTCAAAATTGGCCCGCCCCGGGGGGTCATTGATTTTCCCTATATGCATATAGTAAAAACTTAAAGAATCTTCTTTTAAAGAACCGTAAGAGCTAGAGCTAAGATATTTGGCATGGAACATCTTCTAGTGAGTGTCTACCAAGTTTGTTCAAATAAAAGCCCTGGGGTCAAAATTGGCCCGCCCAAGGGGGTCATTGATTTTCCCTATATGCATAAAGTAAAAACTTAAAAAATCTTCTTTTAAAGAACCCAAAGAGCTAGAGCTAAGATATTTAGCATGAGACATGTTTCTAATGGGTGTCTACCAAGTATGTTCAAATAAAAGCCCTGGGGTCAAAAAATGGCCCTGCCCCGGGGTCATTGATTTTCCTTATATGTGTATTAGCAAAAACTTAAAAATCTTCTTTGAAAAAAACCCAAATAGCTAGGTTTAGATTATTAAGCATGAAACATCTTTAAGTAAAATATCTACAAAGTTTGTTCAAATAAAAGCCCAGGGGTCAAAACTGGCCCTGCCCGAGGGGTGTCACTATATGTGTATAGTAAAAACTTTAAAAATTCTTCTTTTAAAAAACCTAATGAGCTAGAACTTAGATGTTTTGCATGAAACATCTTCTTATGGGTGTCTACCAAGTCTGTTCAAATAAACAAAATAAAAGCCCTTGGGTAAAAATTGGGCCGGGGGGGGGGGGGGGGGCTATATAACAGGTGAGCGACCTCAGGCCATCATGCCCTCTTGTTTGAGATACCACCTCAGTTTTATTTCTAAAGGGGGACATAATCTCAATAGTTTTAAGATACCGCCTTAATTTTATTTCAGTCTAAAGATATATCTCAATAATTTTTAGATACCACCTTAATTTTATTTCTAAAGATAAATATATGTGCGCAAATGTAAAAATTTCTTGCTTACATTATTTCACAGGAAACAAATCAAACTAGACCGGTAATGTTTAACATGTACTGATATTAAACATTTTTTGTTGGTATTCAAATCCAGGTAACTATTACTATATAATAGAAAATTATTTTTTTCTCATTTTAACAGTGGCAGGAGATGTTGCATTTGTACATCACTTAACAGTAGGTGATAACACTGATGGTAGGAACCAGGCTATCTGGGCCAGGAACCGGCGATCAGATGATTATGAGTTGTTATGTAAGGATGGTACCCGAGCTGCTATAGAGAACTGGGAAAACTGTTACCTTGGTACAGTACCAGGTGCTGCTATAGTAACTGGTGGCTATGTGCCGGAATCAAAACGTGATATTTACTGGAATATTTTCAGCTATGGGCAACAGTTTTTCTCATCAGATATGTAAGTAAATGTACTTATATTTGTAGTACTTTCTGTACCAATATGAATTTATATTATTGTAATTGATAAAAGGAGAAAAGGGAGATACTAGTCTGAATATTAGTCCTGTTAATGATTTGAAAGGACAATATTGGTGATGGTTTTGATATATTACATCTTAGAACCAAACCAAACCAATAGAGTCACAAACCAATCTTTGACAAGACCAATGTGTTGAATTCTTGTTAGAACTCATTTGTGATTTATTTGAATGACTCTTGTTGTTAAACTTTTGATTCATTTCAACAAATATAAATGTTCTCTTCGTTTAAACATGAAGTAAGATACATGTATAATGTACATAATATTTTACCTCTTCTAAGATTGTGAAAAATTCTATAGAAGTATGAAAAATGATCTTGTAAAGGATTTTTTCTTTACTTTGATAAAATTTGTTTAGTAACTTTTTGAATGTACATATTGCTTGTTATTTGCAATGTTCTTTCTGAAAACGATCCATTATTTAAAAAATTTGGATGTTCCCTTTTCAGACTTGTTCATTCTATTCTGAACTGTTCTCATTATTTTTATCCACAGTGATGGTGATTTCCACATGTTTCACTCGGGGATGTTCTACTCTGACCTGATCTTCTCAGACGAGGCTGTCAGACTTGTACCTCTATTACCAGAAGAGCAGAACTTTGAATCTTATCTCGGTTGGGACTTCATCAATCAAATAGAGAACCTAAACGAGTATCAGTGTGTCCCGTTGCAGTTCAAGCACCCTGCATGGCACATGTCATTGGTCATTGTGCTGGTTGTGACATTCTTGAACATTCTACTGTAATTTATCATGTAAAAACTACACATAATTATTTGACATTCTTTACACATATCATTCTTCCTTCATCAGCAGTACTGTACTTGATTTGTATCTTACAATAGCTTTACAGTGCTCAGTGGTTCATAAAAATGTTTCGAAAAGGATACTACTACAAGCCTTGCAGGACAAGTGACCAAAAAAAGAAGTACTCACCTTTAGTGAATACTGCCTTGTTCTTAGAAAATTGTAAATTTTGTGTTTGTTACTAGAATATTGGAAATAAAGCAATTATAGTAAATGCAAACTTAAATTCCAGTTACAATTTTGATTTTTGATGCAAACACCAATTGCCGAATTAAGAATATTAACAAACTTGTTTATTTATATCATATGACAAAGATATTAGTGATATAAGCGTTTGTTTTAAAACTTGTAAATTTCATACTTATGTTTGCAAAATTTCACTCGTTCTATCACCAACTTTACTCGGCTGCATGTAAGCAGAAAAGTGAAAGAAAAAAATGAAACTATCTAACCCTGGCACTGATAACCTTTTCTAAAGAAAATCTTTAAACAAAGTGTGTCAATGATACCATATAAAGGATATTGAATGAGTTTAAGTTCAGTACAGAATTTACTGAACAAGTTGAATAAAATTATATATACTCCAGTCTCTGGCGAGTACAATATTATTTCATTCAATGAGTTCAATAAATTCTGTATTAAACCTACACAAATATAATATTCTATTTATCACATACCCAAAAAACAAAGACTGTCTAAAGTAAAAAATATTTCATTGACACATCTATAGTGAAACGCTAATATTTAGCCCTGATATAATGCATATGACGTCAGATCAAAATATATGCACATCTGTGCAATACCATTTTCACAGAGTTGCAAAAGTGGCAAGGGTATGTGATAAACTGTTATATTAAATGATGTATTGATTGATGATCTAAGTTTCTCTATGAAATTTGTTGTTGCTATACTAAAACATATCATGTGTAAATTTACATATCATTTATTAGTGCTTATATCCAGGGATTATCTGACTGTTTGTATCTTTCTCTCCTTGTGATAGTGTAGGATGGTTGTAATTTAGTACACAGTAAGCTCAACATGTACTCTGTTGATATATTTAGCTTTTATGTAAATTTTTGTAAAAATTATGCTTGAAATTTTTTTTTTCAATTAGAAATGTGAATCATGTGAATAACAATAGATGTTATTTGTTATATTTATAATTTAAAACTTTCAGAATTGTTGTTATTACATATCTATGTATTAGATTCAAGTTTTATCAGAAGTTGGAAAAAATGATTGAAAATTATAACTATAAGAAACTAAAATTATGAGATTTCAGAGTTATATGTTTCCTGTAAGTAATATCCACAAACCGTTGAACAGATTTGATCACTTGACAGAGCTAAAACAATTAGTGATGTTTATATATTTATGTAAATAGTTCATGTGTAAATGACATGATATCATTTTCCTTGTATATAGATTTTTTTATATAACTTCTTTATAATTATGTACATAGTCTATTTTTACACTTATGTAATTAGACATAAATATTGTTAGAATTTTTTTATCAAAGACATGTTTATTTATCATACTAAAATTTGACATTTTTACCTGAACACTTTACCTGAGCCTCATAATGATACTACTTTCTGTTTGATGGTGTTGTAAGATGAGTCAACTAGTGGAGTCACTAACTAGAGTTGTAATCATTGTTGTCTTGAAGGTCAAAAGTGTAAACTGTCTTATTTGTCAGCAAAATACATAGAATTAATATTGCATTCTTAAAATGACATTATCCTCAGTTAAAGGGAATTATAATTCAAAAGATCATCTATTTTAATAGTAATTGACCAACAATTGATAATTACAAAATTTTAATGTTAAGGACAAAAACTGCCTATATGTAAAGACTGTCCCACTATTTTCACCAACACAGTGTTACCTATACATTCTGAAGGATATTAATGGAAATTTCTGAGTGTCACGTGGGCTATTGAATATTCATTAAAAGAAGAAAATGAAATTGGAAATATAATTTTATTAGATGAACATAATGTCACTTTAAAGCTGGACATAATTATATAGAAAACGTTACTTCCTGAAATTGAAGAATATTTTTTTAGGATGAAAAACAATACATTCATTGTTTCAGATTTTTAAGTGCATATGGTTAAAATTTTCACTTATTAAACAGAACAAATATTGTATCTATCAATGGTTTTCCTTTTCATCATTTTTCTGCATACCACAACCAGATATTTTTGGACAAAGCTTGAAAAAATCGTAGCAAATAGTCAATGTTAATTACATTTGAAGTGCTCATGAAATTAATGTATACATATCAAGTTATTACATTTGTATTAATATATCATAATGCTGGTTGTACATTTAATGTACAGGTTGTTTTCTACATTCCATTTTTATGTGAACATTTGATTTATTTGTATACATCAATCATAATTGTAACTTTGTATACAGCAATATATATTTTTTTACATATTAAAATGACTTTAATCATAGAATTGTTTATTATTCTGTCTTTTCTAACATTTATTCAGACCCCTATTATTATGTCTGTATCATGATTGCATATATTAGTTTCATCTCTCTCTTGTTACACTTGATCGCTGAAAAAGTATGATTCTAATTTAAATTAGGCATACCCTGTGAGTTATAAAACACACTTACAAGGATTGATCAAAAAGTTCTTGGCCCGATGTACTTACGGTAGTCAGAGAACCCAACTAATGGTCTTACTTTTCAATATAATCGCCTTCTACATCAATGCCCACCTGTGCTTCAATTTGTTTATCCCTTTAAAATAAAACTCTATTTTGGTCCTCAAAGAACTCATTGACCGCCTCCATGACGTCTTCATTGCTTCCAAAACGACTACCACGAAGCAGCTTTGTTTTCAGTTTCGGAAACCGGTAGAAGTCAGAGGGTGGCAAGTCCGGAGAATATGGGGGATGGGAACGAATTTCAAAGCTGCAATCAGTTGCAGCAGCCATCGCAACTTTGGATGTGTGAGCTGGCGCATTAGCGTGGAGGAGCAGAACGCTTGAGTCAGTTTGCACCTCCTTTTACGCGCGATTTCTTGACGCAGACGTCTCAATTTGACTGCATAATACGTACCGTTTATGGTATGACCTTGCTCAGGATAGTCAATCATGATTATCCCCTGACTTTTCCACAAAATTGAAGCCATCATCTTCCCTGCTGATGGCACCCTCTTGAATTTATTCGGAGGGGGTGAGCCATGGTGCTTCTACTGCATGCTCTGTTTTCTGGATCGAAGTGATGGGCCCATGTTTCATCCTGAGTTACGATCCTGTAGATAAAATATGGTTCATCCTCGTAGCGAGACAAAAGATATCTTGAAATGTCAAGCCTGGTTCGTTTCTGGTCGTCAGTCAACTTTCTGGGGACCCATCTAGCGGAAACCTTTGACATGCCATAAACATCAGTCAGAATTGCCTGAACTGAACCAAAGCTTATACCCACTTCCATAGCAATGCTTCGCAGGTCTCGCCTTCTGTCGCACATGACAAGATTGTGCACAGCTTCAGCAGTTTCATAGTTGGTGGCCTCTTTTGGCCGCCCAGACCCCCCATCATCTCCAATGCTCTCCCTGCCCCTCTTAAATTCAGCAGCCCATCTTTTCACAGTGCTATAGGGAGGGGATTCCTTCCCAAGTGATCAAAGTGTGTTTTATGTTACTTAATATGTGTAAAATCGCGTGTAACTCGGTCAGTAATCTCCAATAAGATATCTGTAAGGACGTACCGTGTGTAAATATCAGTACGTGTAGTGGCTAGAAGTATATCGGGCCGAGAATTTTTTTATCACACCTTATAAAAAACACTACTTAGCCGTATCTGACTTTTTTTTTATTGAAGTGACACATCAGAATGGTAGGTTCGTTTCAAATAAATAAGCGAAGTTTTTATGTCAAAGTATATATTTAAAAATAACGGATCGTACGTCAATAACGGGTTAAAGAATTGTTTGAGTTATGTTACATACGACCATGCTCTCGTCCATTATACATATACAAAATCATGCCAGTTGTATTGTAATCAAATCGGCTCCTTTAAAATACGCCTTCGGGAGAAAAGTAATTTTGAAAAAAAAAATCCTGTAGATGCATGCTTAAAATGATAGACTCGGAACTAAATTGAAAATTGTTTTTTGTGCAATTTGAAAGAAAAGTGTTGCAACGCTTTTCTGTTTTTGGGTTATTTTGCACAATAATAATGATTCTGGAAAAACGAAGTGAGGGAATAACCTCTTTCGTATAGAAAATGTTTGTTTTTATGTTATTATAGTACACAGAAGAATAACTGAAATGTGGATATCGGGGGCATTTGATGTGCATCATTTTTGTTCTAATTTTAATATTATATTAAAATCATGCAGTTTCTTTTCAACTTAACAACCAGTTCAAAGATACGACACAGACGGACTGACAACTCATTTTAATCATTCCTTTGACCATGTATGACTATACTAATGAAAAACAAACACAAACAAAGAGAAGCTTATTAATTATAATACTTTTTTAACGTAAAGGTGTTACTTTATTCACAAAGACTTCATGATGAGTAAATGAAAAGTTGCATTTGCTGACAAAAGTAAATGTAGAATCTATAATGTATATCAATAAATTATTGGGAAGTAATACAAAACTAGTATAATATGATAGTAATGCAGAAGGATGTAGCCATTCATAATAAGTTCCTTTATTGCTATCGTATTGTTTGGCAATATTGACCTGAGACATTTGAATATTCAATGACCCTCTGTCGGTAATTGTCGGATTCTGAAGTAAATCGTACGAATTTTAAAGTATGGCATAACGGTTCACATGGTTTATGTATACTAGAACTTAAAGTTACCGGCACTTCACCTGTCTAACTAGCCTCGGTGATAAGGAGTTAAGACTCTTAGTTTCAAAATGAAGGTTGTAGGTTCGAATCTTAATTTTTTTTATGCTTTTTCAAATTATATTTAAATTTGCGGAACTTGACTACTGCCTGCCAATCACCCGTTGTACGACTGTACAAATTGAAATTATGAAACTTTTTTTTATTCTGTATCAAAATTATGATTTCTTTTAAGTTTTAAGAAAGGACAAAAGAAAGTAAAGAAATGATTCATCCATTAATGCTGTTTACAATTAGAAAAAAATTCAGACGTCTGAAAAAAGTTTGTCGAGGATTCGAACTTGCACTTTCGCGATTGCTATGCTGTGATCCTTACCACTAGGCCATCGGGACGTTAGTATAAAATAAAATATCGACAATATTCCTATGATTAAAAATCAATTAGTTAATCGTAATAAATTATGGAAACTAACAAAAATGTTTCCGAGAATTAATGAGTCTTCCGTTCCTCGTTGTGAGCACCCATCTATGACGTATGACACGATAAACAAGGTGAGTTTTTCATAATTTTTGAAGATAACAGGCATTTATGTAAAAATATCGGAATGCAGTTAGCTAGCGATGTGTTTTCCGAGTATGCACATGTAAAATTATTGCCTGTTGGTGGACAATTTGATAGAAATACCGTGCGACGCAGTCACTCGGGGTAGCTGGAAAACTGTCCAGAGACAACTTCTCTCCGGACCAAATTTAACATTGAACACGTCGATTCTGGTGAAATTTTGTGCATTCTAAACTAAAACAGATGCCCACAAGACTTCTGCGTAAATTATTATCTGAAAGTCTTCATAGAAACGAAGATATACCCTTTTTTGCTTTAATCCTCGTTGTGAGCAAGACAAGCGCAGTGCTTGTCTGGTTTTAATATGTACTTCAAATGGCGAGAATACAATTTTCAATCTACCAAATGCAATAAAAACGTTTTTGCACATAATTAATAATTCTTTCGTTTCTTCTTTGTGAATTTCTATTACTTTTTTCTGATCGCATTTAGTGGATATATAATGTACACTTGAATAATTCTAGAACCTAGAAACAATAATATGGCATAGAATGCTACTTGTCTGACAGTTTTGTGAAATCTCTACGGTAGATGATTGATTAACATATACATGTGAATAATTCCCTCATCAGTTGGACTGAAGTACCGACTCTAATTAATTCATGATTTAATCGGATTAGATGCCGTGATTTCCTGGTACAATTTCCTGGTATAAGAATCTACTTTTACAATACTACAATGATTAGTATGTCCATTTCTCTAGTGTTTACCTGCAACTTAACTTGGTATGTTGGCAGCGAATCAATTTTGTATACATGTATAGATCCGGGATGATAGTTTCATATGATTGTTTAACACATTAATAAGTTTTACATAACACGATGCATATACATTCATTTGATAATTATAGCCTAAATCAGCTGATGATTCTTTTTGTATTTATTTATAAATATATATAGTTTTAAATGAGAATTGAAAGGCGAGAAAATCGTTTACGTAAGAATACGATAGTCCTAACAGTGCGGCAAAGGAAAGCTTTTTTGTTTGTTTATGTTTTGTCAGATCATTGTAATATATAAGGTTTGCATGCCACTACCTGCCACAATCATATTAATTCATTTTTACCTTTATTTAAGTAAATACAAGTATATCATATTATACCGATTATCCTACAAACTATAAGAAAATGATTTTGTTCACAAAAAACTAAAGTCGATGTCATTTTTACTATTTGGACAAATCATCACTATTTAACTGTTACAGTAGCAAAGGGGTACAATCAATACCCTGTCTCACAATGATAGTCTACAACTTTATTCTTGTTTAAAAACACTTTTCTGCATGGAATGATTGTATAAAAATTACAGCGTTGATATTCTTGTACATATATGTTGCATATCAAAAAAGATCAACATTTTTTATCATACAGTTTTACATGTGGGGAAAAATTTGTTAACCACCGTCATTTAAAAATGAAGATGATATATTTAAAACAAATTTTAAATAGTAATACATGTAACAAAAATATAGTATGATATATGAAAAAGCCGCTTTAGATAATCTTGTGATAGTAATTGGTCAGGATTTATACATTAGCTTATCCGTAATCTTGGAGTCAGCAGACGCAGAACTTGTCTTATAATATTGGATTTTTTCTTGTTGGCAAAACCGATTGTGAGTACGTATTTCTTTCCGATAATAAACTATTTATTGACGCTGAATGAAAATAAGTAGAAACGATATATTTATTATGAACTTACTTATTATTCTAATAAATAGAGTGCTGATTTAATTGAGGAATGGAAAAATAACATCTTATTATGATTTAATATACGTTTATAATTTTTCATTGAGAAATGTATATCAAACTTGGAACATTAACTGAATTGGGAAACGAAAAAATGTAACCTTGATTTAATTGAGAAATGTGACAAGTAAGAACAAAACTTACCCTTGAACTGACTTTTATCCGATTCGAATGTTTTGCTTTCAATGTTTTTGTGTACATTTGAAAGAGTTATTTCTCTTATTTTTAATAAAACGCTGACAATTAAAATACAGTATAAATCATTAT